CCAAGGCGGGGGGGGAGAGAGGAGAAAGAGACGAGACGCGGGGGCACGGAGGGATCCCGGGGGTGGGCAGCGGCGCGGTGCGGACCCCGACCCCCTCCTGGGGAACCCCCCCACACCCCGCACCGGCCCCGGGCAGCACCGGGCGAGCACGGCCAGAGCCGCACGGGGCTTGGGGGAGCCCCTCGGGCACAGCGGGACCGGGGCCGGGGCCGGGCTCAGCACACACCGGGTGTCCCCATCGGACACCCCCACGGGCACGGGGAGGATCCCACAGCCAGGGCAGGGGCTGCCCCCCCCCCCCCCCCCCCGGGTGCTCCCACGGGACCCCCCCCCACGGGGAAGGGGACAGAGGCCCGGAGCCCGGCTCTGCCCCGCGGGCACTTTATTGCTGCTCAGCCCTCGGGGCTCTTGGCCATGCAGGGCAGGCCGGGCACACGCCAGCGCCGGGTCCCGCGCAGCCGCAGCGACAGCCACTGCTGCTGGCTGCCCGCCAGGTACGACTCCGGGGGGGCGCGCGGCCGGCCGGGAGCCTCGGTGCTGGGGGAGGCCGGGGGGGGCCCCGCCGCGGCCCCCGGCGCCTCCAGGGTCTCCAGGCTGTGCAGGCTGCTCGCACCCAGCTCCTGTGTGTGGGCACCGTTGTTGGAGCCTGGATGGGGAGAGGAGAGGGGGTCACAGGGGGGACGGGTCCTGCCCTGTGCCCCCCATCCTGAGCTCCCCAACACCGGGAGGGGTGAGGAGCCTGAACCAGGCACCGCGGGAGCTGCAGGCTGGTGATGAGGGCTCCATCCCCATCCCATCCCCATCCCCATCCCCATCCCATCCCCATCCCCATCCCCATCCCATCCCCACCCCATCCCCATCCCATCCCATATCCCCATCCCATCCCCATCCCATCCCATCCCCATCCCCATCCCATCCCCATCCCCCTTACCATCCCCATCCCCATTCCCTCCCCATCCCCATCCCCATCCCCATCCCATCCCCATCCCATCCCCATCCCATCCCCATCCCATCCCCATCCCCATTCCCTCCCCATCCCCATCCCATCCCCATTCCCTCCCCATCCCATCCCCATCCCCGTCCCCGTCCCCACTCACAGCACTGGCGCAGGGAGGGCCAGGGCTGTGAGGCCAGGTATGCCTTGCCGCTGGGCTGCTGCAGCAGGCAGAGGATGGCGCTGTCCATCTGCTGGAAGACGCGCAGGGACAGCAGCGACTGCCGGGTCTCGGGTGCCAGCCCGTAGTGCTCCGACTGCACCAGGTCCCGCACCAGCGCGAAGTCCTGCTGCAGCTGCAGGGCGCCCTGCAGGCTGTGCACCGCGCCTCAGCCTGGGCGCCCCCAACCCCTGCCCCTGCCCGGCCCCGGCCCTGCCGCCCCCTCACCTGAACTTGATCTTCCGAGCCAGGATGTGATCCAGCCAGGCCTCCACGAAGGCCGTCGTCACCCGGGCCAGGGTGGGCACCTGGGAGTCGCGGGGCAGCAGCTGGGCCCCCTGCAGGACCTGGCCCAGCACCGTCTGCACCGCTGCCGCTGCGTACTCGCTGGGGGAGCTGGGCAGCTCTGTGGGGATGGGGACCCGGTCAGCCCCGCGGCCCTGCACGGGATGGGGGGGTCTCAGGGTGCCTGCCACCCACCGGCTCGGAGGCTGACCCGCCAGTGCTTGCCCAGCGGCATGGTCTGGTCAAAGATCTCGGCCGACATCCGCTTGCAGTCGGTGGAGAACATCCTCAGCACGTCCCCTGCAAATTGCTGGGGAGCAGAGCGAGGGGAGCTGGGGCTGTGCAGCCCGGCACCTTGCCGTGCCAAACCACCCCCCTCCCCGCTGCGGGACCTCTCTGACACACCGCACGGCTCGGTGCGTGGTGGCTGCTGGCACCCGGGGCTGTGGCAGTGGCACAGGAGCCGCTGGCAGTGCTCAGCCCTACCTGGATGCTGGCAGCCACGGAGCGGATCTGCTGGCACAGCCACAGCTCCTGGTGGCACCGGAGCCGCTGGTGGGGTGCGAGGTGCTGGAGGCTGTCCCCGGGCTCCGGGAAGGCTGCACCCACCAGCAGCACCAGCGCGTCCGTCTCGGCCTTCAGCAGCTGCAGGCGGCAGAGGGAAGAGGAGTGACCCAAATCCTGTCCCCAGCCCTGCAGTGGGGCTGAGCCCCCTGTGCCCCCACCCCGGCCCTGCCCTCACCTGCAGGTCTCCCTGGGTGACGAGCAGGAACTGGTGGAGGGACCAGGACGCCAGGAACTGGAAGGCCTTGCCCATCAGCCAGGAGCAGGAGGCCTGCACCGTGGCCAGGCACCGGCCCAGCAGCTGCAGGCGCAGGCAGGGCGAGCCGGGGGGGCTGCCTGGGGGCAGACAGGGCGGTGGGGACGTTGTGGTGGCTGCGGTGACACCGCACCTGGCAGGAGCTCGGCACAGCAGGGCCAGCAGAGGGACTGTCCCTGTCCCCAGACCACAAGGTGCCACTCACCCTCCGGTGTGGGCGGCAGGTGCCGCAGGGCGAAGGCCAGGGCTGGGTAGAGCTGCTGCAGGAGCCGGGCGGTGCCGCTCTGCGCCGCTCCCCCCGACGGCCCCGGCACCGCTGAGCACCGGTCACACAGCCCCGAGCCCAGCGCCCGGGTGAAATCTGCGAGGGGGACACGGGGTGAGCGGTGCTGGGCACCAGGCAGGGCCCCCCCAGCCACCCCGCAGCCCGTACCTCGCTCCCAGGTGCGCAGGACTCCCTGGCACAGCAGGCGCAGGCAGAGCCGCTCCAGCTCCTCCTGGCACTCCGGGGGGACGCAGGCTGCAGGGGGACAGCGCTGAGGGACGCCCTGCAGGACCCTTAGCCCCCGGTGCAGGGCTGGGGGTCTCCCGGAGGCGGCCACTCCGCAGGGACCCTGGGTGAGTGCCTGGTGCAGCTCCCGCGTGCTGCCGGGGGTCCATCCTGCCCTGAGGTCCAGCAGCTCCAGGCGCAGGCCCAGCACGGCGCTGGTGGCGTCCCAGAAGAGGGGGAGGTACCGGGCGTACAGGGCCTCGGCCGCTGCCGCGTGGGACGCGTCCAGCCAGCGCACCGACTTCCAGCCCGGGGAGCCCGGCCGCGGGGCCGTGCATGGGGGCAGGGGGCTCCCCGCCTCGCTGAGCACGTGGCGCCAGAGGCTGTCAGCGGAGGCCACCAGCACCTCCAGGATGGGGCCAACGAGCTCCTTGTCCTCCACGCACAGCGCCCGCAGCTCCTCGGGGAGGTTCCACAGCACTCCCCGGCCCGAAAGCCCCACGTCCTGCGCTGTGACGGAGCAACCAGCCGGAGGCCAAAGCGCGGCGCCCCCCGCCCCGTGCTGCAGGAGCTGCCCGAGCCGCTTGGCCGCCAGCCGGCCGCGCTCAGCCGCCAGCAGCGCCAGCACCCGGTGCAGGGGGAAGGCGCGGGGCAGCCCCTTTGCCGCACAGCCCGGGACGGAGCCCAGCTCGGGGTCCAGGTCGCCCAGCACGCGGTTGTAGATCTCCAGCCCTTGGAAGACGTCGGCGAGCAGCGCCGGGGGGGCACCCGGGGGTGCGACCCTCGCCAAGCCCCGCAGCTCCTCCTCGAGCCGCAGCTCCAGCAGCCGTGCCGCCTGCAGCGCCAGCAGCCCCAGCGCCCTCCGCATGTGCGCCACCGCCTCGTGGCGCCGCAGCAGCAGCGGCCGCAGCCCGGCCTCGCCGCGCATCCGCCGCTGCAGCGCGCTCCAGTGCCCGGCGTGCGCCCGCAGCTCCTCGCACAGCCCCCGCAGCGGCCGGGCTGACCCTGCCAGCAGCCGTCGGAGGAAGGCGGAGGCGGCGTGCAGGCGGCGGCAGTACTCGCGGGCCAGGCGCAGGAGGTGTCGGTGCTGCAGCAGCGCCTGCAGGGTGGCGCCGCGCTCGGCCACGCGCGGGTGCAGCGGGTGGAAGGAGAAGGCGTCGGCGGGCTCGTGCCGCACGTGGCCGCGGAAGGTCTCGGTGCGGGGGTCCTCCCAGGCGCGGAAGGCGCGGCGCAGCCCCGCCAGGCTCCGCTCCAGCCCCGCCAGCTCCTCGGGGCGCTCCTCCGCGGCCTCGTCCGGGGCGTCCGGGGCGGTCGGGGGGGGGGGCAGCAGGCGCCGCAGCCCGGGCCCCACGCAGCTCCGCAGCATGGCCTCCGCCTTGCGCAGCGAGCGGGCCAGGCCGCCCCGGGAACCGCCGCCTGCGGGGACGGGACCGGCACCGGGGCTGGCACCGGCACCGGGAGCGGCACCGGGAGCGGCACCGAGCCGGGCGCGGGGCAGGGAGGACGCGGGGCGGCGGCGCTCACCTGGCTCCGCGGGCGGGGCGGGCAGCGGCGGCAGCAGCGGCGGCAGCAGCGGGGGCAGCGCGGGCAGGGCCGGCGGGGGGGGCACCGGGACGGGCACCGGGAGCGGCGCGGGGTGGGCCGCGGGCGGCAGCTGCGGGCGGGGGGCGCTCAGCAGGGGGCGGGGCCTCCGGCGCGCGCCCCGCCTCCCCGCCCCCCCCTCGCCGCCAATCGGCGCCCGCCGAGCCGGGAAGCCACGCCCCCTCCCGGGGCGGGGCCACGTGACGCCCCGCGGGCGGGCGGCGTTGCCAAGGAGACGCCGAAAGCGGGGCCGGGCCCGGGGCCGCCGCCAGGCCGCGACCTCAGGGCCGGGCCGGGCCGCAGCACGGAGCCGCCTCCCCCCCGGCAGCTCGGGCCCGGCCCCGGCACGGCCCTGCCCCAGAGCCCCCCCAGCCCCCCCGGCCGTTCCCCAACTGACGCCCCCGCAGCCGGCAGGGACCGGGGCCGGGCGCCATGGGCAGAGCTGCGCGCCCCGGCCCGGCCGCCCGGTCCCCGCGGGGCCTCACCTGCCCGCAGCTCCTCCCGGGCCGTCCGTCCTGCATGCTGGGCACGGCTCCGGGCACGGCTCCGGGCACGGGCGGCCGCCGCCGGCAGGAAATGAGCTTAGCGCCCCTGAGCCCCGCTAATCCGGGCAGGGACAGCCGGCACACAGCGCCCGGCCCCGCCTACCCGCAGGGCTGTGGGGGGCACGGCGGTGTCCCGGGAGGGGCGGCGGCGCCCACGGTGCGACCCCCGGGGGCCGCGGGACCCCCGCGGATTTCCCCCCCCCCCCCAGGGCCAGGAGCTGCCGCTTGAGCCCTGCGGGCCGCCGTCCTGCCCGCACCCGACATGGCGGCCCCGGCCTCACGCCCCGCCCGCGCCCCGCTTCCGGCCCGCGCCCAGCGGGAGCTTCCGCGGTCCGGCGGCCGGGAGCGCGGGCCGGGCCGGGCCATGCGGGGCGCGGGCGGGACGGGGCCCGGGGCCCCCCTCGTCGCCTGCCCCTGGGGCTGCGTGCTCGGTGCCGGCGGCTGGAGCGGCGGTACGGGGCTGGGGGGGGGCGCGGCGGGGGCACGGGGGCGGGGAGGGGCAGGGCCGGGTCCGCCTCCCCCCCCCCCCTCCCGTCCCCGCCGCGTTTCGGTTTCGGTTCCGCCGCCGGCTGAGCGCTGCCCCCCCCCCCCGCAGTGCCCCCGTGCCCCCTGCACTTCCTGCGCGGTGCCGCCGAGGCTGAGAGGAGGATGCGGCAGGTGCAGGTATGGGGGGGTCGAGGGGGGGCTACTGGGAGCCCCAGGGCAGCGCCCCCGCTGTGTGCGGGGCGGCCGCGGCACCTCCCGTCCCGCCCGCAGGCTGCCTGCCCCCCGCTGCACCGCACGGCGCCGGGACGAGGCCCCGCGGAGCCGCTGCCAGGTGAGGGCGGGGGGGGCTCGGCCCCTGGGACCACAGGGGGGGGGGGGGGCTGGGAGCGTCCCGGGGCTCTGCCGCCCCCCGGTCTGTCCCGGCGGTGCCCGGCGTCCCCCGGCACCGGGGCGAAGCGCTGGAGGAGTGGGCAGCGGCTGCCACCCCCCGCCAGACACGGGGGAGGACCCGTCCCGTCCCCTCCCCTCCCGTCCCGTCCCGTTTCGGGGCTGGGCTCCCCCCCCGCAGCTCCTCTCCCGTTATCGGAGCCTGGCCTTCAGCAGCCGGCAGCTCCCCCGCCCGCGGGGCCGTTCGCTGCTGCTTCGGTGCCGGGGGGGGGGGTGGAGAGGGAGGCGGGATGGGGCCGCTCATACCGGGGCTGCGGGGGGCACGGCCGCGGGGAGCTGTGGGCAGCCCCTTGCCCTGCACAGGCCAGGGCCTCTCCTGCCCCAGCCAGCCGGAGTCCAGCGAGGAAGAGGAGGAGGAGGAGGAGGAGGATGAGGAGTGGATGGGCTGCGCCCGGGGCTACGGCAGCCCGGCCTTCCACTTGCACGGCACCAACAACCCCGTCCTGCGCGGGGCTCCGCTGCCTGCGTACCCCGTTCCCAACTTTCTGAACCTGGGCGTGCACGGCCTGAACCCGTCCTGGAGGCACCAGGTCACAGCGGAGGTGAGTGCCCTCGGCCACACGCGCTGCTCCCCCTCCCCGAGGTGCCCCCGCTGCCAGCGTGACCCGTCCCTGCCACGCCGTGCCCGCTGGTCCCGTTGCCTCCTGGCTGCAGCAAGGCTCAGCTCTGGCAGCCGCTCCTGCGATCCCCGCGTTGGCTCCGGCTCTGCCCGGCTGCCCCGATGGCCCCTTTGGGCTCAGGCTTGTTGTGGCTGAGCCGTGTCTTAGCTCCTGTGTGAGCTGCAGCTTCCTGCCCGCAATCCCCTCCCGAATACATGGCTCCCCCCCCCTGAATCCCTGCAGCTCCACGGTGTCCCCGTCAGCCCTGCAGCAGCTCCCACCACGCGTGGGGGCAGCCGAGGCGCCGCTGCCTGCACCTCCCAGCCCTGTCCTGGCTGGGGCGCGGTGTCGGGGGCTCACGTTTGGTCACTGACACCCCCCTGCCCCCAGGAAGCAGAGAAGAATGCAAAGGAGCTGGTGGCAGAGGAGGAGCGAATAAAGAAGAAAGCGGAGAAAAAGAAATTGAAGAAGAAGGTGGGTGGGTGTGTGCTGCTGCAGGGTTCTCACGGCCTGCCTGGATCAAGGTCGCTGCCGCCTGAGCCCTGCTGATAGCCCCGGGGGGAGGCGTCTCCCAGAGGCTGGTGCTTGTTTACGCTCCTTGCCCGCAGCACCCTGTGCAGAGCTGTGCCGCAGGTCAGCTCTGGGTTTGTGCCACTTTGGGCTGCTGCCAACTCGTGGCTTTATCTCTTCTCTTCAGAAGCAGAAGGACAGGAAGAAGCAGGAAAAGTTAAAACAAGAGCGAAAAAGCAAGCAGGAGGCTGAGTCGGTGAGCGGCCACGCACCTTTCTCTCCCCCTAGCAGCCTCATTCCCTGCTCATCCTGGGCCGTGGTGCTGGGCTCTCCGGCAGCCTGCGTGCGGCGCCTCCGAGGGCTCCCACAGACCTCGGGACGTGCAGAGCTGGGGCTGCGAGAGCTGCCGGGGGCACAGCCCTGCCTGCAGCTGCCCTCCCGCTCCCGTTCTCTCTCTGCAGAATGCCTCGTCTCTGAACGGCGCTGCTCCCGGCAAGGCTGGTGGTGCCGAGGAGGAGAAGGGCTGCTCAGCCCCCAGCCCCTCTCAGAGCCTCGGGGATGATGCGGAGGAGGGAGCGGGGGACCAGGGTGGTAGCGTGGAGGTGGCAGAGGTGAGGTGCTGCGGCCGTGGGCTGTGCTGCCTGCCAGCCGGGGTCAGCCCCGCGCGGTGCCTGCTGCCCTCCCTGACTGCTGCCTGCCGCGCACGGCTCTGACCCCTCTTATCTTCTAGGACGAGCTGGATTTGAGCTGCACCTTTGTCTTCAAAGCTCGGCAGAAAGCAGGCGTGAAGCTGCAAGTGCCTGAGAAGGAGAAACCGACCCAACCCAGTGCTGTAGAGCCCAACAAGGGGCCACAGGAGACAGTGAGTTGGGTCCCACGACCCCAGAGGGGCCGTGCAGGCAGGAGCACGCTGCTGGGGGGCTGGGGCGTCTCTGCAGGACCCCTGCCCACAAGGGGCCTCGGGCAGGGGAGTTCCCTGGGCAGTTCCTGGGAAGGGAGGGGGAGCCAGGGCAGCTGTGGGCAGCGGTGCTCCTGCTGCTGGTCCCAGGGCTGGGCACCGGCGTTCCTGGTGCTCGGGGGGCGTCCAGAGCTCCTTTGGGCTGGGGCCTCCTGAGCACCCTGACGGCAGCTGCAGGAACCTGGTAACGGACACGTGGGAGCCGTGAGTACCCTCGGCACTGACTCGCCCTGGCCTCTCTTCACAGCCTGCGGCTGGCCCAGCTCCTGAATTAGAGCTGGGACCGTGCGTGGGCAGAGGGAGCCCCCATTTGCCAAGGGGCTGGCGCAGCACACAGGTCCCAGGGCCGTGCTGTCTGCCTGGGTGGTGACAGGGACAGTGCCCACCCCGGTGCTGTGGGCTGGGAGCCATGGCAGCTCCTACCCGGCCTTTCCCAGCTCTCTGGAGCTATCTGCATTGTGCTGGCGGGGGTGTGGGTGCCCCCATCCTCTGCCCAGCCCCACGAGCTGGGGCGCAGCGGGGACAGGCAGCTCTCCTGGGCTGTCTGCCTCAGCCCCCGTGCTGGGGCAGGAGCCCTCACCCCCGCTGCCGTGCTTGGCTGCCCCACAGGCACCTGAGCCCCCGCTGCCGTGCTTGGCTGCCCCCCAGGCGCCTGAGCCTGTGCCCCTGGACACAAGCGTGGTGGAACAGAGCCTGATGCTTGCAGGTCAGTGCCTCGGGCCTCCCCGGACAGCAAGAGCCAGAGGGTGGGCACGTGGCAGCTCTGCCCTGCTTTGTCCGGGCTCTGCGGGCAGCTTTGCCCCAGGAGGGTTGCTCTGGGTGTGCACCCTCGTGCTTCTCACTGTCCGTGGGTCTGCGTGGCACCGGGCTGTCTCGAGGCTCCTTTCCCACGTGATGGGGTGAAGGCGAAGCCGCTGCCACCTCCCCTCTGCGGCCCTGCCCGTCCCCAGCAGACACACGTGTCCCCGCCGCGTGCTGGGACACCGCTCTGCTCCCCCCACTGGGCTGCCCGGCTCCCTCGAGGGTTGGCAGCAGGCGATGCTCTCCCTGCAGGCCACGGCAACGAGGCCGCCCAGAAGGGCTACTACGAGGAGGCAGTGCGGGCCTTCACCGAGGCCGTGAGGCTGAACCCCAGGGAGCACCGGTGAGCACAGGGCTGGGCGCTGCGGGGGCACCGAGCTCCGGGTCCCGGCTGGCGTGCCCAGAGCCTGCAGCCACGGCCCTGCTCTGCCCCCAGGCTCTTCGGGAACCGCTCGTACTGCTACGAGAAGCTCCAGCAATACGAGGAGGCCCTCAGGGATGCGCAGATGTCCCTCAGCCTCCAGCCCAACTGGCCCAAAGGCTTCTTCCGCAAGGGCAAAGCCCTGCGGGGGCTGAAGGTACCGGGGCGGGCAGGGGGCTGCAGGTGCTTGGCGGAGCCCTGCAGGGAGGTGGTGGCAGCGTGTCCCTGCGGACAGGAGCTCAGCCCCTCTCCCCGCTTGGTCCCAGCGCTACGCCGAGGCCGTTAGGACCTTTGAGGAGCTGCTGCGGCTGGATGGAGCCCACCCTGACGCGGCCGCCCAGCTGCAGGCCTGCCGGGTGCTGCTGCAGGTGAGCCCCGGCCCTGCCGTGCTGCTGGCCCCAGCACCAGCCCACAGTGCTGACCCCTCTCCCCTCCGCAGCAGAGCAGCGCCCACACAGCTGACGGCCCCGGGGGCGTCCCCGTGCTGTCCCTGCTGGAAGATGGGGAGCCGCCCCTGCCCGGTAAGGGGCTCTGCTCCAGCAGCAGTTCTGCCTCAGGGATGGTGCTGGGGGGGCCCTGGGTGCGGTGGAGGTGGATGGGAATGGGGGCTGCAGGGGCTGGGCTGGCCCCCAGCCCTCAGTGTGCTGAGCCCCGGGTGCCTCTCACCAGAGGAGTGGGTGAACGGGAGCTGCAGCGACACCGACATGAGTGGCTTTGTGACCGTGGTGAAATCGAGGAGCCACTCGAAAAGCCAGGCCCGGGCCACAGCTGCAGCGAGCACCAAGCAGCAGCAGCAGCTGCCTCCGCATCATCCTGCCAGGTAGGGCCAAGGGGCTGGGGAGGCAGATGGGGCTGGCGGGGACTGCAGCCTGGGACCCCAGGGAAGGTGCCTGGCGCTTACTGGGGGCAGCGGGAGGGCCGGGTGAAGCATGGTGCTGCCACGGAGCTGGGGTGCTGGGGAGCCCTCCAGGCGTGGGCAGGGGGGAGGCGGTGCCGGTGATGGTGGTGCGGTTTGGCAGGGACTGCTACCCGCTGTGGGTTGGGAACATCACCTCCAGGATCACCGAGAAGGTGCTGCGGGACTGCTTCAGCCGGTGAGCGTTTCTCCCTGTGCCTGCCCTGCTCCGTGTCACCATCCTGGGGCCAGGACCCTGCCCCCACGGTGCCCCGCCAGCCCCCTGCCTGCCCTGTCCTGCGGGACCGACTCACTTGGGCCCCTGCTCCCCGTGCTCCTGCCCTGTGGGAGCGAGCCCTGCCCTGCGCTGGCACATCCCGGCCCCATCCCTGCTGTGTTTTGCCTTCCCCGTGGGGAGCGTTGGTGCGGGCTGTCCGCGGGGCAGGCTCCTGAGACTCCACCACGCAGGTTTGGGAAGATCCAGTCCATCCGGATGCTCCCAGGCAAACGCTGTGCCTTCATCAACTTCAAGCAGAAGGCAGCAGCAGAGGCAGCCTACGAGGACATGCTGGTGAGCACCGGGCCGGGGGGACCCCTCCTGGGCCCTGCGCCCACCGGGGCTGCAGCAGCACCGATGTCTCTCCCTCGCCAGGACGCTGACCTGGAGGGAAGCAGGCTGGTGCTGCAGCTCAAGCACCCCTCCCACGCCACGCCGAGCCCCTGGCAGCGCCCCTAGGCCTGCTGCGAGGGGGGTGCCCTCCCCGGGGGGCTCCTGTAGCCAGCAAACCTCGACAGCTCACGGGGAGCAGAGCCAGGCCCCCTGTGGGGGGATGCTGCCCCCCTGTACACTGGGACCCCATCCAGGGGCTGGCCCCACCGGACTGCAGCCCCAGCACCACCCCGCTCCGCGGCACCCGGCCTCGCGCCCTGGGGAGCCAGCAGGAGCACGGACCCCTCCCGGCAGGGCTGTGGCCGCGGGGCTGTGACCTCTTGGGATGTTTTCCCCCAGGAGCCAAGGAGTGAGCACAGCTGGGTTTGGGCACTCCCTGCTCTGGTTTCAGCCCCAGTCTGCTGCTTCGTGCCCCCCATCCTGCAGCAGCAGCTCCTGGCTGTGTGCTGAGTGCTCGGAGCTGGTCCCCAGCCCTGGGAGGAGCCGGGGGCACCCTGCAGGGTGCCTTCTCCGGGCCTCAGCGGGCTGGGGGGGCCCTGCCCACCCCCTCTCTCCCTCTGTAGCAGCAGCCCCGGCCCCTGTCCTGGTGCTGCCGTGTGCTGGGCTTGTTCCCAGCCCAGGGCCCTACCTCCTGCCACCCGGCGTGACTGTGCCTTGGGGGCTTGCCCCCCTCCATGGGCTCTGGAGCCCAGGGCCCGTGCTGCCCCGGGGGCTGCCCACGGAGCTCCCTGTGCCCAGGGGCCCTGCACGCAGCAGGGCTGGGCCCTGCCCCACAGCAGCAGATGCTGCCTTCAGGGATTTGTACCTGCTTTGGGTTTCTTAATAAAACCAAGAGCCAGACGTGTGCCTGTGCCGCTCCTTCTCCTGCCTGTCCCTGGCACCCCATCAGCCCCCCCCTTCACATCAGTGCAAAGCTGCTCCCCCCAAACCGGGCTGTGGGTCTGTGTCCCCCACCCCCGGGGCACTGCCACTGTCACACCTCGCCCCCCTTCAGCTCCTGCCCCTGCTTTCCTCCAGCTCCTGCCCCGTCGCCTGCCACGGCCTCGCTCCATGCTGCGGCGCAGCCCCCACTGCGCAGCCCCCCCTGTGTGACTCTGGGGAAACCCAACACGGGGGCGGGGGGCGCCGCGTTCCCAGGCAGGGCACGGTGGATGTGTTTTGTCTCTCAGTCCCTTCAGGCCCTGGCAGCGATTGATGGCCTGGGACTCGCGCGCGGCCTTTGAAGCGTTCGGGGCTGCTGCTGAGCTCCATTAAAGCTCACTTTGCAGCAGCACCCGCGGCACACAGGGAGGCTGGTTTCCCAGCGAACATCTGTGGGTTTTTAGCAGGATTATCTCTAATGGAGCTGCCCTTTGAGGCATCTGAGGGTTTCATGTGATTTACAGAGGCGAGCTGCGCTTGGTGGCTTTTGCATGGGAGAGGAGTGAGTGTCGGGCGGGCTCCCAGCCGGGCGCTGCCGCAGCTGCTGCCCACCCAGCCCTCGCCATGGGGTGCTGGCTCACCACACTGGGGTCAAGGGGCCCTTCACTGCTCACCGAGCTGGGGTGAGCGGCTCTGGTGCACAGCTCCACATCCTCTGTGGCCCAGCACCCACAGGGCTGCTGCTTTGGTCACTGCTTCCCTGAGTCTTGCTGCCCCACCACTGCAGCTGCCCCCTGGCCGGGCTGCGTGGGTACTCCCGGTCCTGTGTGGGTGCTCCCTGGAGGAGTGGGGACACCGTGGTGGCCAGGGAGGACAGGACAAGGGACAGCAGGGACAGAGGGGATGGGCAATTGCCCAGGGCAGTGTGGGGTCCTGCAGGAGGGGTGGTGGTGCCACGGGGACACTGCGCTGTCACACAGCAGGGACAGGGCAGCTCCGTGCCCAGGCTGCTCCCTGCAGTGCGGAGTCACCAATTCATGGCATCCACCTGGGCTGGAAATGAGCTTCAACCGAGTCCAACCACCAACCCGACTCACCACGGCCTGTCACTAAATCGTGTCCCTTAGTGCCTCGGCCACGTGTCCCAAATACACCAGCGATGGGGATGGCTCCATCTCCATGCTCAGCCCAGCTGCACTGGGCCCCCAACCCTGGGAACGTCGGGGCATGGAGAAGAGCCCGGGGGTCCCAGGGGCATGGGGAGGTGCTCTGAGCACCTGGGGTGAGGTGGGGGCAGCGCCCAGGCAGCCCCCAGTGCCTCCCACCACCCAGCTGGGGCCTCCCGGTGCCCGGGCTTCCCATCAGCAGGGGTCCTGGTGAGGGGCAGGGTCGGGGGGGTCCCGCTGCCCCCTGTGCGGGGCCACGCTGTGTTTGCTGTGGGCCCCCAGCCCCGCTGTTAGGAGAGCAGCGCCTGTAATGTCATTTGCAGGTGATGGGAGTCGCAGGGGCCGTGGCAGGGAGGCAGTAGGCAGGCCATCAAGTAGGATTTGATTAATATGCAAATGGGCGGCGGGGAGAAGGAGCACGGGAGACAGCGAGTAATTAATCACTAGTTAAAAGAAATTAATACCAACAGCAGAGGTTGTCAGGAAACAGCAGCAGAGTTAATCATCCAGAAAATTGGAAGAGGAAAAAGACGAGAGCGCGCGGGGAGGAGCGGAGCGCGGGGCCGGGCCTGGCGGTGCCCCCGCCGGCGGCACGGGCACGGAGCCTGCCCCAGCGCCCCGGTGACGGGCGCGGAGCACCCGGGGGGCGAGCACGGCTGGGGACGTGCCCGCGGCCCGGCTCCGGGCAGGGCCTCCCGGGACCGCGGGCCGGGTCCCGCAGCCGGGGACCCCCCCGGGGTGCTCAGCGCCCGCGCGCGTGGGGGACGCGGCGGGACCCCGCTTCGTGCGGCACCGCACAGCCCCGCTCCCCCCGCAGCCCCGCTGCCTCCCGCAGCCCCCCCAGCGCGCACACCGGGGGGGCCGCAGCTGCTGCCAGTGCCCGAGCCCGCGGCCGGCTGCCCCCGCGCGGTGCCGCTGCGGGCGGGGGGCCCGGGGAAGCGGCTGCCGATGGCGGCGCGCCCGGCGCCTGCGGCACGTCCCGGAGCGGAGCCCGCGGGACGGGACGGGCCGGGCCGGGCGGCGGCGGGGGGGGCTGAGCCCGGGGGGGCTCGGGCAGGCTGGGGCCGCGGCGGGGGCACCAAAGCCGCCGGGCACCGCGGACGGAGGAGCGGGAGGTGCTGGCACCGGCTCTCGCTGCGGGGACGGGGCCAAAACGCAGGGGCCTGAGCCCCCTCCTCCTCCCCCGTCCCTGCCCCACGCTGCCCCCCCAGCCCGTGGGGCGCAGGGGGAGGGCTGGGGCCGAGGATGTGGGGTCCCGGCGGCGCTCGGGGAGGCTCTGGGGGCGTTGGGACTGCGGGACTGGAGCCCCCGGCCCCGGGCGTGCGGCCCCGGGCCCGGCTCTATCGTGGGGACCGGGGACATCGGCGGCGTGGCCGCCTGCCGGGAGGGGGGTGGCGGAGGGGCCGGGGGGCTGCGGGACCGCAGAGGCGCTTCGTTATCTCGCTCCTGGCTCCTGGCTGCGGCTGCTGGGGGCTCGTGGGGTGAGTGCAGGGCTCCTGGTTCTGGGGCTGGGGACAAACCGCCGCTTTTTGGTCGCCCCTCAAGTGAATGAGGCGTTGGTGGCAGCAGCCCGGAGCCTTGCCCCAGCCCTGCGGGGCCGTGGCTGCGGGCACCACGGGGCAGTGTGAGAGTCCTGGGATCCCGCGGGGGTGTGCAACCCCACTGCTGTGTGTGCAACCCCACTGCTGTGTCTGCAAATCCCACTGCTGTGTACAAACCCCACTGCTGTGTGTGCAAATCCCATTTCAGTGTGTGCAAATCACACTGCTGTGTGTGTGACCCTATTGCTGTGTGTGCAGCCCCCCCCCGCAAGGTGTGCAAACCCCATTGCTGTGTGTGCAAACCCCATTGCTGTGTAAGCCCCATCTGTGTGTGTGCAAACTCTCCCTGCTGTGTGTGTAAACCCCATTGCTGTGTGTACAACCCCTCCCCGCTGGGTGTACACCCCCTCCCCCCCCAAGTCTCTGGGCCTCTGGGGGCCCGTGCGGAGCTGGGGGAAAGGAGTCGGCCCCGGAGCAGCACCGGGGCAGCCGGGTGGGTGCCGGGCTGGGGGCTCCCGAGGCCAGGCAGCCCCCAGAGCCTGCAAGCAGTGAGGAGAGGGAGGAGGGAGGCAGGGCGGGACCCCCTGGGGGTCCTTACCCCCACCGCTTGTCTTCTGCCCCCTCTCCTCCGGAGCCCTGTCCGGGGCTGCCCGCAGCCAAGGGGACAGACAGCACAAGGAGAGCCCCCGACCACCCCCTCCCCTCGCGCGTTCTCCCCCCCCCCAAGGTACGCCCTCAGCCTGGGGGCTTTGGCACGGCCGGGCCGGGGTCCCCGGGCAGGGCGCGTCCCCTCCCGACCCCGGCGGGATCGCGGCCGCGGCCCCGCGCCCGCCCCGAGCCCGCCTTCCCCAGGCCTCCTACCTGTCAAATTAAAAGCAATTCCCGGGGGGGGGACCGCTCAAAGGCACTTTCAGGGCTAAATCTCATTTCTCCCCCTCCCCCTCGGCCGGCGCTGCTGCAGCGCTGGGGGAAGGGAAGGACAATGCAATTAAAAATGGAGTAAATAATGGAAGAAGCGGGTCTCCGTTCGGAAGTTTGCACCGGCGTAATTAGATCAGCGAGGGCTCATATGGAGCCCGGGGGGGCTCACACGGAGCGGCGATGACAGGGGGCTCCGGGGACCGCCGGCAAGGGCACGGGGCCGGCAGCTGCCTGTCACCGCCCCGCGGCTCGGTGGGAACGGACGGGGGGGGTGCGGGGCCGGGCCCCAGGCACGGCGCAGCGCTTCGCTGCCGCTCGGACACCCCCCGCTCGCCCTGAGCCTCCTCGGGGAGTGACGTCATTGCCCCCGCGCGGTGACGTCACCGGAGCATGACGTCAAGGGCGGTGGTGTGAAAGCCCAACGACTCGGAGCAGGTGTCCGGGTACCGGGGTGCGCCCCTGCCTGCCCCTGCTTGGGCGGTGGGGGCACGGAGACGGGCACGGGCACGGACACACGGACACACGGACACACGGACACACGGACACACGGACACACGGACACACGGACACGGGCACGGAAACACACACATGTACAGACACACACAGACACACACAGACACGTACAGACACACAGACACGGCTACACCAACAGAGACACACAGACACAGACAAAGGCACGGACAGGGACACGCGGAAACGCGGACACGGACACACAAGCGGACACCCGCGGACACACAGCCGGGGGTGCTGGTTGGGGCCCGCTGCTCGTCCCCCCCACTGCTCCCTGCCCCGGCTGCGGGTGGCGGCGCCCCGAGCGCGTCCCCGCTGCAGCCCTGCCGGGGGGGTCCCAACGCTCTGGGCGCGGGGCTGAGCAGGGAGTCGGGGGGCTCAGGGACCGCGGCTCCGCGCCCCGCCTCGCCCCCACCCTCCCCGGGGCGCCCCCGGGCTGAGAACCCCATGCTTGTGCCCAGCGTGCCCAGCTCGGGCTGCAGCTTGGGGTGCGGGTGCTTGGGTGTCCGTCCGTCTGTCCGTCCGTTTGCTCGTGCACAGCCCGCCGCGCCCAGCCAGCCCCCCCGCTCCTCGTTAATAAGGTGTCTCCTTTATTCAAAATATATACACGCGGGGCGGCCCGGGCCTCGCGGACGGACCGACGGGACAGACACGATAGAAAATAAAATTAAAAAAAAAAAAAAAAAAGAACAAAGACAAAAAAGAGAAATTGCACCAAAGCCCCCGGCGCGGGGGCGGGGGGCAGCGCGGCCGCCCCGTTCCGGCGGCGGCCCGCGGTCAGTTCCCGGTGCCGGCCCGGCCCCGCCGCCTCAGTCCCCGACGTCGATCTCCTCCTCCGAGAGCTCGGCGGCGGGCGGCGGCTCGGGGCCGGCGGCGGGGGCGGCGGCGGGGGGGGCGCGGGGGGGCTCGGGGAGCGCCGCCAGCTGCTCGAGGGCGGCGGGGGGCAGCGCCTGCAGCGAGGCCACGTCGGCGCGCATCTCCTCCAGGTCGCGCTTGAGCTTGGCGCGGCGGTTCTGGAACCAGGTGATGACCTGAGCCGTGCTCAGCGCCAGCCGCTGCGCCAGCTGGTCGCGGTCGGCCGGGGAGAGGTACTTCTGGTAGAGGAAGCGCTTCTCCAGCTCGTAGATCTGCTGGTTGGTGAACGCCGTCCGCGACTTGCGCCGCTTCTTGGAGGCCGGGCGGTGCCCGAAGGCGCCCAGCGGCTCCCGACCTGCGGGGACACGGCGTCAGCGCGGCTGCCCCCGGCCTCGGTGCAACCCCCCCCCTCCCGGCCCCGCCGCCCCCCGGCCCCTTCCCGGCCGAGAAACGCCGAGCCGTGCCCAACCGAGCCGTGCCCAACCGAGCCGAGCCGTGCCGAGAGGTGCCCGACGGGGCCGCGCTGCGTTTTGCTCAGCCGTGCAAAGCGAGCCGAAACGAGCCGGCCGAGCCGTGCCGAGCGTGCAGAGCCTTAGTGCCGAGCCGAGCCCCGTGCCGTGCCGTGCCCGGTGCCCGTGGCTCCGCACGGAGCCCAGTGCCCAGCCGCGGGTTCCCGGGGCCCGGAGCCGCCCGCCGCTCCCGGCCCGCTCCGCCCGCTTCCCCCGCAGCTCCACAGCGGCCCCGACCCGGGCCGAGCCGCCGCCCGCCGGCTCCTCGCCGCGCCGGGCCGAGCCCACCCGTGTCCCGCGGCCCCGCAGCCGCCGCGTTCCCCCCTGTCCCGGCCCGGCGGAGCGTTCCGGGGCTCCGGTCCGGTCTCTCCTCGCCGGCGGCTCGCCCCGGATCGTGCGTCCCGGAGCGCTGCCGCAGGCCGCACCGCGCCGCGGCCGGGCCGGGCTCGCCCCCGACCGTCCCGCGCTGCCGGTTGTCCTTTCGCTTCAGCGGCTTTAGGAGCACCCGCTCCCGGCGGGCCCGGCCCGGGGACCGCCCTCAGAGCGTTCCGGTTACCGGCGGCCCGGTGCCCCGCGGCCGGTGTGCGGTGTGAGTCGGTGCCGGCCGCGCCGAAGCTCCGAGGCCCCGACAGACCGCGCTCAGCGGCTGCTCCCGGTAAGGAGCTGCGAAATGCGCGGATCCGTGTCCGGCCGCTGCCGGTCTGATCCACGCTCGGTAACGGCTTCCCACCAGCGGCACCGTCCCGCTCCCGGCTTCGCGCGGCCGTTAAAGCCTTTCTGCCGCCGGCGGCACCGACCCGCCACACTCGGTAGCGCGGCTCCCGAGGCCCGGCTCGGCGGCGGCTCGCCCCGTGAGGCTCCCGTTAACGCTTCGCCGTTCTCCCGGTTCTCCTCCCGCTGAGCGGTCGCCGCCGGCCCCGGCCCCGCCGCGGCCCCGTCCGCCCGTAACGGGGCTGCCCGGCCCCGCGCGGTCACTGCGAGGCGCCGGTCGGCGGCGGCTCCGTCCGTGTGTCCGTCCGTTCGGTGTGCTCGGTCGCTAAGTGCGGGAGCCCCGGGCTGTCCCAATTTTCTGCCCGTGTGTCCGTCCGTGCAGCGGGCTCGTTCGTTAATTATGTTAATTACGGGAGTCCCGAGCTGTGCCGGTTCTGTCCGTGTGTCTATCCGGGTAAGGGTTTTTTCGATAATTACAGGAGTCGCGATTTGCCCGTCCGTGTCCGGGTGTCTGTCTGGGTAACGTTTCTTTCTTTCTTTCTTTCTTTTTTTTCTTTTTTCAATAATTACAGGAACCCCGCTCTGCCCATCCGGGTGAGGATTTCGTTGTTAATTACGAGAACTCCGATCTGCACCTCCGTGTCCGTGTGTCCGTCCGGATAAAGGGCTTTTTTCGTTAATTTCGGAACCACGCGCTGCCCGGCTTCTGTCCGTGTGTCCGTCCGGGTAAGGGCTTTTATTTTTTCGATAATTACGGAGCCCCGAGCTGTCCCGTTTTCGTCCGTGTGCCCTTCCGGGTACGTTTTTGTTTTCCCCGTTAATCACGGGAGCCCGCTCTGCCCGTCCCCGGCGTTTCTTTTCGTCAGCTCCGAGAGCCGCGCTCTGCCCGCCGGTGTCCGCCCCGTAACGGCCTGTGTCGGACCGGGGCTGCCGGGCCGCGCACACGGCGGCTGCCGCTGCCGGGAGCCCGGGACCGCCCGGGGCGTTCGGAGGAGCCGCGGCCGGGCCGGGCCCCGCCGGCGACGTGGCTGAGCGGCCGGGCTGCCGCCGCCCGCGGGGCCCGTTCCCAGCCGGGAGCCGCGCGGCCATTTCCAGCCCCGCGGGGCCGCCTCTGCCGGTACCGGGTGCGAGCGGCCGCCGGGGCCGGGAGTCCGCGCAAACGGGATTTCTGCGCTACAAACGAGGATCGCGGCCGGGGCCGGCGGGTCCGCTCGGAACGCGGCGAGGGACCCAGCCCCGCTCCGGGGGGCGGAAAAGCCGCGGCCCGGCGTGGGTTTTCGTTAAAGGTTTTCGTTACCGACGGGAGCGAGCCGGCTGCGGCCGGTCTGCCCGAGCGCTCGGTAACGGATCCACACCCTCCGCGGGGCCGGTGCCTCCGTTTTAAGGCTGGGGCCGCCGGCGGGACGGATCTCGTGCTCTCTGAGGCGCGGACGCCGCGGCCCGGCCCGGTACCCGGCTCGTTATGTGCGGCTCCCGGTAAAGGCGCCGGGGCCCGGCTCTCCCTCCCGCCGCAGCGTTTTGCGGAGCTCGCGCTCCCGCTGACGCCGGGCGCCGAGGGCCCGGTACCGGGCTCTGACCTCGCCCGTCCCGGAGCTCCCTCGGCGCGGCTCGGTCCGGTGCGCACGGTGGGGGTTCGCTGGGCCCCCCGGGCCGGCCCCGGCCTCTGCCTCCCTCCGGGCCGCGGCTCCGTGGAGCGGTAACGCCTCGCCCGGTCCTCGCTGCGGGCACGCTCCGGGCCCTCCCGGGCCGCCGCCGTCGTCCGGGCTCTGTCCGGCGCCGCGGCCCCGCTCTCCCGGTGCGGACATGAACCAAACTTACCGGAGCCGCCGGGCCGCGCCGCGCCGGGCGGGAGGCGAGGAGGGACCCCGGAGGCGGCCCAGGCCCGGCCCGCCTCGGGACCGTGTCCGCCGCCCGCCGCCCCCTCCGCGCCCGGCCCGGCCCGGCCGCCGGACACGCACCTGCCCCGCTCCCTCCGGGCCCCCGCCGGCCCCGAGCCGCCTCCCCGGCCGGCCCCGCTCCCGCTCCCGGCCCCGGCCCCGCGCCGCCGGCCCGGCCCCGAGGCGCCCCGGTACCTTCCGCCGCCTGCAGCACGTTCAGCTCCAGCCCCTTGAAAGTTTTGCTGGCGAGCTCCTCCAGCGCGCAAAGCGGCGAGGACGGGGCGCACACGCCGTTACGGGGCGCGCCGGGCCCCGCCGCCTTGTCCGGGAGCCGGGCCGGGGGCGCGCCGTGCCCGGGGGGGGCCCTGCGGCCCGAGGGCCTGCTGAGGATGTCCTCGATGCCGAAGGGGGTCAGCGGCTTGTTGGAGTTGGCGGGCGGCGGCAGCTGGTCCAGGGCGCCCCGGCGGCGCTCCTCGCCCGCGGCGGGCAGCGGGGGGGAACCGGCCGCCTCCCGCGCCGAGGTCATGGCGCGTCCCCGGTCCTGCACCGGGGCCGGCTCAGCGGCGCGCCCGCCTCATGCTGCCGGGGCCGCGGCGGCGGATCCCCCCTCGGAGCCGCTGTCCCGGCCGCCCCGCCCGCGCATGAAGCGGCTCCGCGCCGGCCGCGGCCGCACTTAAACCCGGCGGGCGCAGCCCGCCCCCTCGGCGGGGGCCCGGCGGCGGCGGAGCGCTCGGCCTCCCGGCGCCGGGAGCCGCTCGGCGGGCAGGGCGAGCTCCGCGCCCGCCGCCGCTCCCCCCCGCGGCCCCGGTGCCGCAGCCTTAAAGGCGCGGGGCCGGGGCGGATAACGGGGCACCGAGAGGAGGAGGAGCCGCGGGGGCGGGAGCCGGGAGCGGGGGAGCGGAGGGGAGCGGAGGGGGCCGGAGGGGGCCGGGGGGGTCCCCGCCGCTCCGGCCCCGCGGGGCGGGGGGGGGCTCCGCTCCCGGGCCGGTGTGGCTGTAACGGGAGGCAGCCGGGGCGCAGCACCGCGCCACCGCGCCCGGTTTTAAGAGCTCCTCGGGGGCGGCCCGCTAACCCCCCGCCGAGCCCCCCCCGCCCGACCCGGCGGGGCTTTTGCCGTCGCAGAAATTTATTAGCTCCCCTGCTCTAAAACGCCCCATAAAAGCGCAGGGGCCGCCGCGTCTGGGAGTGATTAGGCCGCTTCGGGCGGGTTTTGGGTTTCAGAGCGCGGCCCGGCCGTAAACCCCCCGGTACAAATAGCTCCGTGATCCCGTCCGCTCGTAAAGGCCCAGGGACGCCCGCACACGCAGGTGAGCCCCGCCGCCGGCACCGGGACCGGTTTCCCAGGCGGGACTGGGACCAGGAACTGTCTCATCGCCCAGAGGTCTCGATCCTTCCCAGGGCCAGTGGTGCATTCTCGGGGAATGCTGCCTGGGCTCCGGGCAGCATCTTCCCTGGGGGGCTGGGGAGGGGGCACCCAGCTATGGGATCAGGGAGGGAGCGGAGGACACCGTCCCGCTGTCCCAGTGCCACCCCCGGGATGGTGCAGATAGGAGGGGAAAGGAGGGGCGAGGGGCTGTCCCCAGGAGGCAAGGAATGGCCTGGGGGCATTCCCAGCTGCTGGGGGGGATTGGGAAGGAGGGGATGCTGCAGCAAGCGGGGAGCAGCTCTGCTGGGTGCAGCGGGGAAGCCCTGCGCTGCTGGAGCTCATGTGGGCACAGGCTGGCCACTGCGTGGCACATGCAGCATTGGTGACGCATTCTGGGGGGCTTTGGAGAGGGGATCCTGCTCGGGCACGGGGGGCTTGCACCAGTGACAGTGCCCTTCTGGGGTGGGTGATGCTCCGAGGGAGGGCAGCCTGAATGTGGGGGGGGGGGGACACAGAGATGCTGCTGAGGGTGCAGGGGTCACCACAGTAATGACAGAAAATGAACCTGTGGGCCGGGGGCCGTGGGGGAACTGTGCCGGGCGGGTGGGAGCAGGTGCAGGGGGACCCGCGTGTGCCGCTGCTGGTGCTGGGGAGGGGGAGAGCGGCGGGGGGGGGCTTCCAATGTTGCTGACAAAGGCAGAACGCGATCCCCTGGCTGGAAATTGGAGTTAGACAAATTCAACCTTGAAATTTCCTAGCAGCCGGAGCAATTAAACCCCGGGGCGGGGGTGGGGTGAGGGCTTGCCGGCGCTCCAGCCCTCAGCGTGAGATTTAACCAATTTCTGAGAGGTTTTAAAGCTGCTCTCGGGAAGTCCCTGTGCCGCGGCGCAGGCTGGGAGAGCTCAGGGCTGCCCCTTCCCCTGGTGCTGTCCGTATGCTGTCGGATGGGTCCCACTCGTGGGGGCACCCGCAGCCCCTCGCACTCGGCGCCGATGCGGCAGCGTCCATGTGGCTGCCTCGCAGCCTTTTGTCCTTTCCGCAGGGCTCGTGTGCTCAGCTGGAGATAAGGAGACACAGGCAAGGAGCCGGTGGTGCCACCTTCCCTGCACGTGCTCCTGCCCAGGCTCCTGCAGTGCCCAGTCACAGGGCGCAGGTGAGCCAGGCCCCCGCTGCCTCCCCTGGCCCCTGACCCCGCAGGAGCTGCCCAGGCCTCGGCTGGGCCGCAGCAAGCGGCAGTGCCGGCTGTGCACGCTGTCCCCTCCAGCAGCACCGTGCAGCACAGGGGCACCGTGCCGGGCCATGGGTCCCAACCACCCAGCGCAGGCAGGGAAGGGGCTCTCTGAGCTCCCCAGCCACATGTGCTGTGGGGAGAGGGGGCTCTTGCCTAGGATGTTGGAGCTGTGGTTCCCACGAGCTGCACCCTCAGCGTGCGCAGCCCTCTGGTGTGTGCAGCCTTCCTCACCCCGGTCCTAGCCCCGCGGGGTGGCTGAGCCCCAGCTCACACCCGCGCCCTGTGCTCTGTCTCAGCTAATGCCCTGTGACACGCACCAGGAAATTGCTGCTTAGGCTAATTCCTTGTTCTTGCACTGACCGGGGTTTGTAGCAGCCCTGCACCTCTGAATAAATCTCGCCCTGCAACTTCATCTGCTCTGGGGACCGGGACGAGAACTTTGCCTATGAAGCCCTGGGCCAGCAGTGCCTGGAGCTCAGCATCGGGGCCGGGACCGCGGGGCCAGGACCTGTGCTGGTCACAGGGCTGCATCTGGCTGCACTCACCCTGCTGGGACGTGAGGTCCCCCCGGCCCATGCCCTACGCAGCCTGCACCAGGGCAGATGGTGGGGGGAGTGCATGGCCAGAAGGTGGACACAAGGGCACAGAGCAGCGTGCCACCCTGTGCCCCCCACCCTGCAGCGGGCTCTCTGTCCTGCCCCAGCCCTGCTCACCACGGGCACACGGACCCCAGCTAGGCGCAGAGAGGGCGCCGGCCCCTGGTTCACACCGGGTGGGGAAATGTCAGCCCCAGCTGCCGGGAACAGGATGGGAAATGCGCTTCACCCCAAAGCAGGACACAAGGTGGAAAACAAAAAGACTTCTGAATTTTTGCAGGAAAATTTCAGCTTCCTGCTGAGCGGGGCAGAGCGCCCTGGCTGGCGGCCGGCCCCACGCTGGCCAAGCGCCCACAGCCCAGCGGGTGCTGCGTCCTGCATGGGTGCTGGGACAGAGCTGGGGTCCCCAACACTGCGGGGGTGCATACCCCAGTACAGCTCTGCCAGCACCCACCTCATGTCCCATATATCACTCCCTTGGTGCAGGCCTGGGTGCGGGAAGCAGCCCCCAGCGCACCCGTGGGTGCCCCCAGCACGGCCGGGGACAGCCGAGGCGGAGCCCTGCGTGGCTCTGCCCCAGCAGCTGCGCAGGGTCTGCAGCACTCGCATGGGGAGCAACACAAGCAGTGCCAGAGCACAGCTGCGCATGCACGTGTGAGGGTGTGCGCGTGCGCAGGGGCACAGGCACAGGACGGCGTGCGTGCGTTGCATGGTGCCAATGGCTGGGGGTTGCCCCGACACCCCCACGTAGGACACCTGTGTCTCGAGGGCACCCGTAGCACAAAACACCCATGGCGCAGGGGCACCCGTGGCCTGGGATGGCAGCGGCTCGGGGGCACCAGCGCGGCTTGGGGCACCCGTGGCCGTGGCAGCCCTGGGAGCAGGCGGCAGGGACGCCCCACGCTCGGGTGTCTGCGCCGTGCAGCGAATTCCCCGTGACAGGGTAACGTGATTAGGGGCGGGAGGCGGCAGCTCAGCCCTCTAATATGCTTATGCCAAGGCTCCGCGTTCTGCCCCTGATCTATTATTTAGCGAATCCATTTCAATAACGCAGGCTCCATGACGAACCGCCTGGCAGTAATTCAATTAGGGGCGCTCCCAGCCCCGCGCCAGAGTTAGAAATGCAGAGCAGTTTGCACATGGAAATTGCTTGCAAATGAATTTTCCTTTAATAAGGGGAATAGCTCGGTGTAAAATTAAACTGTCAGTAGCGGAGGCGCGCGGGGCATTACCAGGGGAGCTGCTGCGCGGGGCCTGCGCGCCCTGGTGCCGGGGGAGGAGACCCGGCCAATTATTGGCAATAAACACTCACCCGGCTCGCGGCTGGGGCGGCTGCGGCGAAGCAGCAACTGATGCGATTACACTCGCCCCGGGGAAATGGCGTATTAATGTGTCCGGGGAGCGGGGGGCGCCGGGGATCCCTCGCCAGGGGTTACTGGCAAATGATCTATTCATTACCGTGCACTGACCTCGCGGCACGCACAAGTGCTGGGCGGACCCGCAGCTTAATCAAGCGGAGAGCGCGGCGGGGATGAGCGCTGGCAGGCGTGGACAGGGCGAGGAGTGGGCAGGGGCTCGTGCCCCCCCTGGAGCTGAGGGGCTGGGGGCACCTGAGACGCATTGGGGCTGTGCAGGTGTGCGCAATGTGCAGGCAGTGCTCACCCCCACGCCTGTGGTGTGTGCGTGCACCCCCGGCAGACACCCAGTGTCCCTGCGTGTGGCTGTGCACAGAGGTGTGCAGGCGTGTGACAGCCGTGCCTGGGGGTATGCGGAGCACCAGGCTGCAAACTGGGACCAGACGTGCTGGTGCTGGGGGCCCCAGGCAGCGCCCAGCCCTGGGGAAGGCTCGGACCCAGCCCCTGCGTGACGCCCTGGCAGGGACAAGGTGACCCCTGCCGCAGGGACCCCAGCCCAGTGCCATGGGGGGAGCTGCCAGCCCCCAGCCCCAGCTGCCGCCCTCCCCCTGAGACCCCCCCGCCACAGGGGCCTCCATATGGGCCTGGGCCAAACTCTAGCCAAATGGGCCGGGGGGGGGGTTGCATTTCAAAGCCTCCGGCTGTGAGCAAACGCTGCTCCCTCCTCCCGCGCTGCCTCCCAGCCCCAGCGCCCCGCTGGCCCTGGGTCAGGGCAGGGCTGCTGGGGACAGCCCCGTCCCCTTTCCCAGGGACGGTGGGGGCAGCCCCAGCCCGTGGTGGTGGATGGCACCCATGGAGCAGCCAGCAGCAGTGGGATGGGAGCAGGGGATGCACTGGCGAGGTGCCTGTGCCGGGTGGCCTCATGCAGGGGCTGGGGATTCCTTCCCGAGGGTGCTGGGGCGAGGGGTGCTGCAGGGGGAGGCCGTGCTAGCTAGGGCAAAGGGGGGGGGAAGGAGGGGAGCTGGGGGCTGTGGCCAGACCTGGACCCCTGCCCCATGGGGCCAGGCGCTGTCAGCTGCAGCAAGACGAGCGTCCGCACAGCCTCCCCGGCGTGGGAACCGCGTCCCGCCGCAGGCTCGGGCAGGGCCATTGTGCAGGGCTGTGCGCCCGCGCCCGGCGGGGGCAGGAAGCGGGGCAGGCAGCACCGTCTCCCCGCTGCCGCTTCCTGCCCCGCGCCACAAATAGCCCTGCCCGTGCGGCGGGGCAGCCAGCGGGGGCAGCTGCCGGGGG